TTATGTAAATAATTTTCGAGCTGCTGTTACTTTGAATGTGGGATGCAGAACACAAGCATAATGAAGTATCTTATTAATGATTAAAAGTAGGTTATAGATTGGAAATTTTAGAGGCAATGTTCCAATTTGGCTAAAATATAGTTAAAAGTATGATATTAATTAAGAGACTTCAGGGTGCCAATTTCAAAAACATCTGGAAGCTCACATTACTAATCCTATTGGGAAATAAACAATGAATTTAAGAGTAACCTAATTACCAACCTTGCGCCCTCCTGCATCCTCGTTAGATTAAAACCTGATTGATTACCGCTGTGAATATAATGAGAATGCGATGAGCAGAATGACGTTTTTAGCAATCTTGATGCCAATAATACATTTACAGAATGGTACAGTTATCTAGGCTTAAATGACACTAATACTGGACTGCTTAAGTTCGCAGAAAGCGCTAAGAAAACAATAATTGCTAATGGCATTTCCCTATAATTACTCATTTGTAGGGAAAGTTAGTATTTCAACAAATATGCGAAAAATTACATACTTTTTTTCTAACCTAGAAGTAACGAAAGCTTCTGCATTAAATTACTGTTATCAGATGTATCAGATCAATATGGTTCTGTAGTGTTAACTTTGCGTTGGGGATATATACATATATCGGGATATCTTGAAGTCCTGTGAAGTAGAAATATTGATTGATCTTTAGGAAGTCACTAGATGCATCTCTATGGGTTGAAGCATATAAACATTTGCTCTAGATTGAAGCTGGCAATATATTTTCACTTGTTTTGGTTTGCGACTTGCACTTTATCGCTTACCTTTTGCCGATTCGGCAAGTTTGAAATGAATTCAGTAAACGTCATAACATGAATTTTTTCTTTTTTTTTGCAAAAAAAGCTCTCTTAGGAATATTTGAAGGCGTATTTCACCACACAAATTTTTAGAACTAAATGACAATGAAAAAAACAGAGGTCCTACAGATCATTGGAAGCATCTGGTGGAGGAGGTGATGTCTCTGCCCTTGAACTCCTGTTTTGAGCAGCTCATTTTAGGCTTGACGAGAAAGGGTGGGATAGGAAAAAACTGGAGTTCCCCAAATGGGCTAATCCCGACCTAGGATACATGACAATATGACAACGACTAGCATAATTATGAGACTGGTAGTCTCGAAACCCTACTTTAATACGAATAGCATAATTATGCCTACCCTTCTAACGCATCAACGACTTTTGCCCAAAATCCCAAACCAACCAATAGTGCTCCTCCACTTCAAAAATAATTTATTTCAACCACTCATGAAACTGCACATGCCGAATATAAAATTCCCTCTACAATCTGATTTGTCACTACGTAGACCAATAATGTTATGGCTATATTTCTACTTATAGACCCGACATTGGCCTGCGGATAACCGGCATTTTCATATTTTGATTGAGGCTATGCGGTAATGTCTCACACGATAGTTTTCGCTATCGTGAAGGTCTATGATGCAGGACCTTCCGCCCGCCATTTGGTATGCTTGTATCATCCTCGCTATTCTTCTTCTAGCCCTGGGTACTGTTGGCAATATTCTCTTCCTTTTCACTATATTTTACAAATCGCAGCTCAAGTCACGAGCCGGTTCTGTAAAATCTACCCGAATGCCCTATGCGTCACTCACCTTGTGGCCCAAACGAAAGGCATCGCTGCCGACCGGATACCATCCCCAAGTGACCGAGGGTCTCTGGAGCTATAAGGGCTTTCAGGGTCGTCAAAATCCGCTATCATGCCTTCTTGTGGCCACTTCGGACCGGCTGCTCAGCTTGATGACCTTCACCGATTGCCTGGCCCAATGGACCACTCTTCCACGCTATCTTCTTCTTATACTGACTGAAGTTGACCTGCGAACTCTGCATCCCTGTATCTGCTGGATGCATACGTTTGTAGTGATGACAACAACTAACCTCTCAGTGGCATATCTTTGTATCTTTTCGGTGCACCGGGCAATCCGTCTTCGTTGGCCCCTCTGGTCCCGGCGTAAGCTTACTCAGGCACGACTACAGTTTGCTATTGTTCTTGCCACAGGCCTCTGTATTGCCAAACATCTGCCAGTATTTTTTCTCTTTCGTGTTGTTCCAAACAACCGGATTAATTCATCCTCTCCCTCGTCTCCATGCCCAACTTGTTCGTCCTCCTCTTCTAGTGTTGCTGCCGCACTTTTCAGAGCAGCCATAAATGCCACTTCATTGCCGGTGAAAGAGAGCTTCGCCTGCGATCTGTACTGCACAAACAGCACCAGCGTATGTCTTGGTTGGTTCTACTATGGCCTTGAGTTTTTCACTCATGGCCTCCTTGCCTACTTCTGCATCCTCCCAGCCACATGTCTATTGTGCCAAGCGCTCAGGCACAGCGCTAGCCGAGCGCCCAAAAGGGCCGGAACACTATGCCTACTGCCAACTCATCTTCCACAATCTACAGACAGCCGTTCCATGTCAATCTATCAGCCAAGCGGAAGTCTGTTGAACAGAGAAGTAAGGCATCATGTATCGATGAGCTCACTACAAGAGCTTCAGTCACCTTCTGTGGATGGTATTCGCTTTCACTGCTCGGCCCCAAACTGGGCCTCTGGGCGGGCAGTACCGTTCCAGCCACAACCACGCCAACCGATCAGTGCATATGTAATATCTGCTCTGGGCATTTATCATATGCTCAGCTCACTTCCGTTCCTGGTGCTTATCGAGGCTAGGTTCCAGTTTAAGCTGAAGATTCTACCCGAAGCCAGTCATGCCTTGGTCTACTTCCCCTTGGTTCTTCTGCTCTACAGCAATAACGCGATAAATTATTATGCCATGTTGTTGATCGGGCCTCGATTCCGCCGACAGACATGTGAGGCTCTCCAGCATCTGTTGCCATTCTGCCTGACTGATCGACAATCGAACGTCAATGCGAAATGGAAAGCCAGTCCAGATCCAGCAAATTATTCTGGAAATAATCGCCGATCTGATGTCTTTGCTGCTTCAAGGCAGGGAGCGAATAAATTGGACTGCTTTGGTCTTTGTCAGAGGTCTCACTCGAGGGCTCACATTAAGCTTGGAAAGCCTGCGTCCTCTAGTGTCATGTGCGGATCCTTGGCATCAGATGTCGATTTTATAGCGAGCCAGGACCAGAAATACGCCCAACAAGAGGTAAACCAGGCAGCCAACTTGCCAGAAAACCTGAAGGAGAGAACACTATCTCATTCTCTCTCAACTGTGAACCTGTCTTCTACATGTTACTAGGCAAGGCTTTCATTTTTGGATAGCCGAATTAATCTAAATACGACAATTATTAGAGTATAATGGGCCAGCCAACAATAAGTTTCCTTCTATTGATAGCCCAATTCCGATTAGTTCTGCTAACATAATTATTTGGAGAAAAACTTTTTGAGGTGACAAGTAATCGCGGGGGCAGGCTTTGTCTGAACCAGGCGACCTATTAATTTTGGATAAGTTTAGTTCCACTTTTGTGAGGCTGGAACCTGAGTGTACTCATAAATAAGTAATTTAACTCCTTATCACCGAGACAACTGTGTATTGCAAAATTGCCTGAAATAATTTGAATTAAAAGAATTCTGATACATTCCATCAGTTATACTAGAATTTCCTTTAGCGAAAATTCCTTTA